TTTTTTTTCGAGACAGAGTCTCACTTTTATTGCCCAGGCTGGAGTGCAATGGCGCAATCTCAGCTCACCACAACCTCTGCCAACCAGGTTCAAGCGATTCTCCTGCCTCAGCCTCCCTAGTAGCTGGGACTACAGGTGTGTGCCATCATGCCCAGCTAATTTTTTTGTATTTTTAGTAGGGATGGGGTTTCACCGTGTTAGCCAGATGGTCTCAATTTCCTGACTTCCTGATCCGCCCACCTTGGCCTCCCAAAGTGCTGGGATCACAGGCGTAGGCCACCGTGCCCGGCCTGGGCTGCTTTACCTTCTAACTGGTCAGTTGCAGAGTTGTCCTCTGAACTGTTCTCTCTGCTTCCTCCCTCAAACCAGCTTTGAGCTGGGTTTCTCCTTGTTGCCAACCCGGTCCTTCTACTCTCCGCACTCTGTGTAAATTGGAGTGGCCATCGTTTGGGGTGGGGTGGCCAGACAGCAGGACATATGATCCCAAGGTAACCCAGGCTGTATGGAATGTGGTGACAGGTTCCCCTGGGCACCCAATCACTTTCCATACATTGACCAGTGGCTAGGCTTAGTTTAACAGCACCCCTTTTGGCTTTAACGCTGCATAAAGCATGCTGGGTTACAAGTTATGCTGGCAGTCCCCAAGAAAGCCCCTTTGGCACCAGCTGTACTCCCTTCCCTAGCAGAAGATCAAGAATTACCTCCACCATACTCAAGGCCCCCCCGAATTGGGGCCTCAGCATCCTCCCCCAGACAGTACCAGTAACCAACCATTGTCCCCCCTGCACACCTACAGCAGGGCTCCACACCCACCAGCGGTCCTTCCTCTCCGAGAGATGCCTCCAGTGGGAGGAGACAATTGGGGTCGCCCATTCTTTGTTCACATCCCCTTCTCTTCAAGTGACTTATTTAACTGGAAGGCTCAACATCCCCCATTCTCTGAGAAGCCCCAGGCTTTGACAGGGCTTTTGGAATCTGTGCTCCAGAATCACTGCCCCATTTAGGATGACTGCCAACAATTATTACTAATTCTGTTCACCACAGAGGAAAGAGGCAGAATTAGACAGGAAGCCCTGAAAGCCATCATAGGTCCAGGGGGAGCAACAGTAGAAGAGACCCGGGACCCAATTGAAGAGGTTTTTCCCTCTACCCAACCCCAATGAGACCCCAACACCTCAGGGGGGTCACCAGGCTCTGAACACTTTTCACCGGTATATTTTAGCGGGGGTTAAGGGGGCAGCTAGGAGGCCCATCAACATCTCCAAGGTAAGAACAGTGACAGGGTCTTTAGGAGTCGCCGGCTGCTTTCCTGGAAGGCCTACGAGAGGTGTACCGTACCTATACTCCTATAGACCCTGAGGCCCTGGAAAATCAACAGGCCATTAACTTAGCCTTTGTCTCCCAGTCAGCCCCAGATACCAGGAAAAAGTTATAAAAACTAGATAGATTCCAGGGAATGAATTTGACCCAATTGCTGGAAACTGCCCAGAAGGTTTTTGTTAACAGGGATGCTCCTGGAGCCATACAAGAAAAAAAGGTACTAAGGCAGTCATAGCAGCCCTTCAGGAGACACGAGTCACTCCACGAGGGCAGGGGGCCTTGCAAAAGGGCCCCCGGGGTCCCTGGCCCCTGGTTAGGAAGAAACCACTGTACATACTGTAAAGAAGAGGGACATTGGAAAAATGAGTTCCCCGACAGAGAAAGATGAGTAACCGCTTAAGAAAAACCACTGAGGGCTATCAATTTAGGTCAGGATTGACGGGGCCAGGGCTCTTATTTGTTAAGCCCCCAGCAGCCCAGGGTTACTTTAAAGACTGGGGGCAAACCTATCAGTTTCTTAGTGGACAGCAGGGCAGCCCACTCAGTCCTTACTCAGCCTCTGGGACCACTAACCAGTAGGAAAACAGTCAACCAGGGGGCCACAGGAAAGACCACGACAAGGTCATGGACCACAAATGGAGTCGTTGACTTAGGAAATGGCACCATTACCCACTCCTTAGTTCTTCCAGAATGCTCTTACCTGCTATTAGGGCAGGACCTACTTCACAAACTTCAAGCAACCATCTCCTTCTGTGAAAATCAGAGAGGATGCCTGCCTCTTTATACCCCCTTGCCCTCTGTATCGAAAGCACCTCACCAAATCCTCATCACTTGTGCTGTCAGACGAGTATCTTGCAGGAAGCTTTATCACCAGAAACAAATCAGGCATCAACGTCAGACCTCCTCCGCCAGTTCCAGGAGAGTGTACCCAGAGTGTGGGCTGAGACCAATCCCCCAGGTCTGGCAGAACACTATACCCCGGTTGTGGTCCAACTGTTGGTGACAGCAGCTCTGGTCCAGGTACAGCAATACCCAATAAGTCAGGAAGCCAGGCGGGGAATCACTCTGCACATAACGAGACTCCTGGAAGGACGAATTCTCACCACCTGTACGTCACCCTGGAACACCCCTCTGCTCCCTGTTCTAAAACCTGGCACAAAGGATTACCGGCCAGTACAGGACTTGAAGTAAAAGAGTAGAAGCTGTCCACCTCACAGTTCCAAATCCATAAGCCTCCTGAACCTGAACCACCATTACCAAAACATCCTGGACCTCAAGGATGCAGCCCCAGTCAGCAGACCCATATTTGCCTCTGAGTGGATGGACCTGGACACTAGGGTCTCGGGGCAACTCACATGAACCCAGCTGCCTCAGGGATTCAAAAGGTCTCCCACCCTATTTGATGAGCACTTAGCCAGAATCTTGCCACCTTCCAGGCCGAGTTCCCTGAGTGTACTCTACTCCAATATGCAGATAACTTACTTCTGGCCTCAAGAACCCAAGAGGCCTGCAAGGAAGCCACCCAGTCATTACTGTTGACCCTACAAACTCTGGTATATCAAGTCTCAGCCAAAAAGGCCCAACTCTGTCAACAAAAGGTTACGGACCTGGGCTCCATCAAGAAAAAGGCAACCGGGCGCTGGCGTCCAGCCGAGTCCAAGCAGTACTACAGATACCCACCCCTACCACAATGCCAAGTTCGGGAGTTCCTTGGGGTGGTGGGGTACTGTAGGCTACAGATTTTAGGTTTTGCCAAAATGGCCAAGCCTCTGTATGCCTGCACGGGAGGGAATCGACCCCTCATTTGGACAGTAGTAGAACAGGCTTCTGATAAACTTAAAGCCGCTCTGACCTCGGCCCCAGCCCTGGCCTTGCCAGATACTTCTAAACCCTTCCAGTTGTTTGTACATGAAAAACAAGGAATCACGAAGGGGGTGTTCACCCAGACATTAGGACCATGGTCTAGGCCGGTCGCCTACCTATCAAAAAGACTTGATCCTGTAGCCTCTGTGTGGCCAGCCTGCCTTCGGCCCATGGCAGCAACAGCCCTGTTGGTAGAGGAGGCGGACAGACTGACTCTGGGGCAGGAATTAAACCTAGTGGCACCCCATGCAGTAGAGTCACTGCTCCGCGGGGCTCCAGGAAGGTGGACGTCTAGTGCCCGCACAGTACAGTATCAGGCTGTACTCTTGGTCCAGCCCCGCATCAAGTTCCTGAAGACTACAGTCCTGAATCTGGCCACACTGCTGCCTAATAGTGGGCCAGAAGAGTCCATACATGACTGTCAACAAATAATAGATGTCATCCAAACCGCCCGACCAGACCTCACTGATGTCCCCTCACAGAACCCAGAAGTGGTACTGTATGCGGATGGCAGCAGTTTTACGGTCAACAGAGTCAGGTATGTGGGAGCAGCCGTAATCCTAGAGCGGGTCATCCGGGCCCAGGCCCTTCCTCATGGGACTTCAGCTCAATAGGCTGAACTTACAGCCCTGATAAAAGCCTTAAACTGGGCAGAGGGAAGGCCTGTCACTATTTCCGCCGACAGCCATTATGCCTTCGCTACAGGCCATGTACATGGAGCAATATATACAGAAAGAGGACTACTTACCTCAGAAGGAAAAGCTATTAAAAATAAAGAGGACATTCTAGCCCTGCTGGAGGCTATATGGAAGCCCAAGACTGTGCCACTAGTCCACTGCAAGGGACACCAAAAGGGGGAGTCACCAGAGGCAAGGGGAAACAGGGCTGCTGACCTACCGGCCAGGCAGGCGGCCATGGGCCAGTGAAACCACCGACCCTATTGCAACCCTGCCCGCCCCAGTTCTGCCCCCTACTCCCACGTACTCCTCAGGTGAGAAGGACTTTGCAAAGGAGCAGGGTGCCACACAGGACTCCACAGG